GGCTCAAGTGAACTCCATACATGGGAACAGGTGCACAGGATTGTTTGTTTTCTTCAACCTCATTTATAAGCTTCATTACAAGTTTCATCTGTTAACCTTTAGATAGAAGAATGAAGAAACTTTGCGACCAGTGTAGAGACCATGTGAATTTTAGAGAAGGAGATGGGCAGAACCAGCTGCTGGGGAAGAGATGGGCAGAGCAAGTGGTAATGCTGGGGAGGAAAGCACGTGTCAGTATGACACCCACTTACTTGCTTCCCACTCAGCATCTATTTTCTATAATGCTCATCACAAAACATTCAGAAAAGGAACAGGTCCTAGTGTAATGCCTTATTAAATGCTTAAAAGAATGAGATAATTGTGAAGAGATAATGAGATAATTGTGAAGGAAGATTCTTTACAATAATGAGATAATTGTGAAGGAAGATTCTTTACAATAATGAGATAATTGATAATTGTGAAGGAAATTGTGAAGGAAGATTCCTTGCAATAATGAGCACTATAGATTAATAATAATGACAAAAATAATATGGACCTTAATAACTCAAGTGTTAGAAAACACATTTTATCACTAAAAATTACTCCAGTATAACTTCTGATTAAGAATATAGCCACTATAAAATAGATATCAACAGTACCTACTGTATAACACTAGTACTCTATAAAAACCTACATGGGAAAAGAATCTGTAAAAGAAGAGATATATGTATTTATGTATACCTAAATCACTTTGTTGGATACGCAAAACTAACATAACATTGTAAATCAGCTATGTGTGAGTACGTGCTAAGTCGCTTCAGTCATGTCTGACTCTTTGTGACCCCATGGACTGTAGCCTTCCAGGCTCCTCTGTCCATGGGATTTCCCAGGTGAGAATCCTGGATTGGGTTGCCATGTCCTCCTCCAGGGGATCTTCCCAACACAGGGATCTAACCTGTGTCTCTTACATCTCCTGCGCTGGCAGGTACGTTCTTTACTGCTATTGTCACCTGGGCTGACTTTTCATTCAAGATGATAGAATACAAGCATTATTTTTATTTTGCTCCCTATTGAAAATCTTCAAGAGATGGGAATACCAGACCACCTTACGTGTCTCCTGAGAAATCTGTATACAGGTCAAGAAGCAACAATTAAAACTGGACATGGAACAATGGAATGGTTCCAAATTGGAAAAGGATTACATCAAGGCTGTATATTGTCATCCTGCTTATTTAACTTCTATGCAGAGCACATCATGCGAAATGCCAGGCTGGATGAAGCACAAGCTGGAATCTAGATTTCTGGGAGAAATATCAATAACCTCAGATATGCAGATGACACTACCCTTATGGCAGAAAGTGAAGAGGAATTAAGTAGCCTATTGATAAAAGTGAAAGAGGAGAGTGAAAAAGTTGGCCTGAAACTCAACATTCAAAAAACGAGGAGCATGGCATCTGGTCCTATCACTTCAAGGCAAATAGATGGAGAAACAATGGAAACAGTGAGAGACGTTGCTTTCTTGAGCTCCAAAATCACTGCAGATGGTGATGGCAGCCATGAAATTAAAAGATGCTTGCTCCTTGGAAGAAAAGCTACGACCAACCTAGACAGCATATTAAAAAGCAGAAACATTACTTTGTCAACAAATGTCCGTCTAGTCAAAGCTACATTTTTTCCAGTAGTCATGTATGGATGTGAGAGTTGGACCATAAAGAAAGCTGAGTGCCGAAGAATTGATGCTTATAAACTGTGGTGTTGGAGAAGACTCTTGAGAGTCCCTTGGACTTTAAGCAGATCAAACCAGTCCATCCTAAAGGAAATTAATCCTGAATATTCATTAGAAGGACAGATGCTGAAGCTGAAATTCCAATACTTTGGCCACCTGATTCAAAGAGCTGACTCATTGGAAAAGACCCTGAGGCTGGGAAAGATTAAAGACAGGAGGAGAAGGGGACAGCAGAGGATGAGATGGTTGGATGGCATCACCGACTTGATAGACATGAGTTTGAGTAAGCTCAGGGAGTTGGTGATGGGCAGGGAAGCCTGGCATGCTACAGTCCATGGGGTCACAAAGAGTCAGACACTTTCAGTTCTGACACAGTTTTCAGAGTCAGACACAGTTCAGACTGAACTGAACTGAATTTCCTATTGAATCCCCAGTGACTAATACAGTCCTCATAATAAATTACATACTCATTAAATTGTTCCTGAAAAATTAATGAACTGCCTAAGCTGAAAGAAATCTTGTTTTATAACAAGGCAGCCTCCATCCACAGAGCAAACTATTGATCAGCAGCAGAGCACAAAAGCATTGTAAAGATAATCTAGTATTCAGAGGCTATGAGATTCCCTCAAATTAACTTATAATAATATTTAATAAAGCAAATATTTAATACGGAATTGGATAGAAGGGCTGATTAACCGTTTGTAACTTTAAACCACTTTTCTAATGGGTATAATTTCCTTGGTAGGTTAAATGTGAATAAAGGTCTTCTGATTTCTATTTCTAGATCAAAATTTCAGTGATATTAGACTGATAAGAGAAACAAAAAAAACCCCTACTTTCCACATGTAGATTGTTGTATTGTATTTATCTACAGCAGTCGACCATTCTGTTGTCTTCACAATGCATTGTGCATCAGACCTACAGAGCATCAGTGCATGCAGGGCTCTCTCTGCGGTGGTTAGAATAATCTGGTTCCAGGATGGAGGTGATCACGCGTTCCACTGTGGACTCTAGTGCTAGCCTCCCTGTTACCTTCATCTTGCTTCAACATGGAGGGCTCCAGCTCACTTCAAAGACCACCCCATGCACAGGAAGACTCTGATAGAGTGAGACAGAACTCACTGTGAATTTGAAATTCACAGGAATGTTAAGAAGAAGAGATCATGATTATCACTACATAAAAAAAAAGAAAGAAAATCTCTTGCTTTAGTCATGCATATAATTTTTCATTATCTGTCACAGACATGTTCACCCAAGATCTACAGGGCAAACAAACACAACTCAGTAAGGTACCTTCTAGATTTATTCACAGAGGAAAAACACCACGTTTCATAAGCATTCTTAATTAGGGGAAGAGTTTGTAACTTATTCTTTGTTTTTTATTGAAAACACATTTGTTCCATTATGAATTTATTTGTAAAAAGCACTGAACCTGAAGTTTAATTGCAAGCAAAATGCGCTTTCACCTTAGTGCAGCACTGTTTGACAAAGTGTGTTTCACGGGCAATTGTACCTATTATTTCCAGGGAGGATGGGAAACTGCCCCTTCCCATCTAATTTCCCCTAAGGAATGTCTGCCTTCTGTGGAAGGGAGTAAACAGTAACATAAGCTCTGCAAGAGTCTGTGAAACATTAAGAACATTGATATCAAACATACCAAAAATATCCTTTAAGTTAGAATATTTATAGCAGGCTATATATTGGACACACTTGTTGACCTTGTATTTTGGTGCTCTTTGGGGTTACTAATAGCACAGAACACAAATTTAGCATGTTTCTTTTTCATCCAAAAGAAGATGGTAAGGTCTATTGACATAGGTAAGGTAGTTTTTTTCATTTCAAAATAGGTTTTTATTTCTGGGTTTTGAGATGTTTCGAAGACAAGTCAACCTGCCAACATGAGCCTTGGGAGCAAAGTGATGAGGATGCATAGGAAAGAACTGGAAACTACGACAACTGTAGCAAGCCCTGAGGTCCCTTCTTGGGTCTGTCACTTACTACTCCCTGCTCCTGGACAGGTTGCTTAATCTCTAATTATTCACCTCTCTGGTTATAAAAGAAGAGAGAATATAAAAAAAGTGTATTGAAAGAAATATGACTATTATTTTTGCCAAGAAATTTTGCCCTAAGAGCAACCCATAAGCTTTCTCATAAATGTGTAATTTGAGCCTAGAGAGTTGTCTTATCCCTTAAAGAACTGGAAAGATAATCTAGGGTATAACTTGAAGTCTTGTTAGTATGATTATCCACAGAAGTATTTAATGTGAAATTTTGTCAGGTACATGCACTTCTTGGAATGAAATTTGTCCCGAAAAAAAGCACAGACAATTGAAAAGCATAGTAACATGAAGTTTTGAACTAAACTGGAATTTAGACAATAAAGAAAGAAAAAGCCATGACAAAGTAAAAAGAAGCAAAAGAGTTATTAAACATGCACTCTATGCAAGGCTCTGGAGACAAAAGATTCAGGTTCAAACCCTTCTGCCATTGTCTCTATAACTTTAGACAAGTTATTTAAACTCTCTTAGCCTTAGTTTCCTTTTTGGTCATAGGTGAAGAACCTTTGTGAGATTTCAGCCAGATGTCACATATGAAGTGCTTAGTTCAGTAGCTATTACATAGTAAACATTCAACAAATAAAGCTGCTGGGTTGTGTTGTTCTAAACAGTAAGTGGTCAGAGTGGTAACTGACCATGATGGATAAATGCCTTATAATAGGATCTACATGAAAAAAAAGTTAAATGAAGTTACCACCAAATGGCAAGCTGAACTCTTAGAAAGGAAAGAATTAAAAGGTCAAATCATAGGAGCATGTTGATGAAAAGTCATCAAAGAAAGCACAAGAAAAATTAAACTGAGGGTAGAATGGGTATCAATTACTTTTGTCCTATTCATTCTTTACGGAAAGAGGGGCTTAAATTCTCATTATCATTAATATAGAAAATCTTTGCATTTAGAAATTTTAAAATGGCAACCCACTCCAGTATTCTTGCCTGGGAAATCCCATGGACAGAGAAGCCTGGCGGGCTACAGTCCTTGGGGTCGCAGAGAGTTGGACACAACTGAGCAACTAACAACAACAAATGCACAACAGAGAGAAGGATCAGTGCTTTTAACTCTATAAGAAACACTTTATAGTCATGTAGTCATTTTTAAATAATTTTGTTTTTCATTTACATTGGGTACATGANGCTCTGTATAATGGGCTCCAGTTTCATGTAGTCATTTTTAAATAGTTTTGTTTTTCATTTACATGGGTACATGATCTATATGCAGTCATGATCAGCCTGTGTACCTGCCACCATGTTGCGAGTTCCCCCAAGGGCAGGAACTCTGTCCGATTCACCTTCCTATGCCCAACGCCTTGCTCATTCTTGAGGGGTATCCCTGAAATGGACAACGCAAGATTTGCAAACACAGATATATTCAAAAATATTATAGAAGGAAAGAACTGTATCTACAGCCACAAGGGAAATGCCAATTAGAATGATGATGAAATACCACTATATCCTTATCCGAGTGGCTAAAATAAAAGAATACTGACAATATCTAGAGGTGACAAGAGGAGTAGGGAACTCGCGTATGTTGCTTGCTGGTGAAAATACAAAATGCTATAGCCATTCTGGCAAATGGTTTGGCGGTTTCTTATAAATTTAAACATATAATTCCAATATGACTTAGCAAGCCTGTTTGATGTATTTCCTTAAAGAAATGAAAACTTGCAGTCAAACAAAAACCTATATGCAACTGTTCATAGTAACTCTATTTATAACAGTTATTGATAAAATGTGGAAATGAACCAAATGTCTTTCATGGATAAATGGATAAAACAGTGACATGTCTTCTGTGATAAACCATAATGAAAAAGAAATTTTTTAAAAGGATGTATATATTTTTCTATAACTGAATCATTTCACTGTACAGCAGAAATGAATACAACATTGTAAATCAACTATACTTCAATTTTAAAGAAAAACAGTGGTATGTCCTTAATGGAATCCTATTCAATAATTAAAAAAAAATCAAACCACTGATCCCTTCAAAAACTTGGATGAATCTCAAAGGCATTCTGCTGAGTGAAAGAGTCAGTCTCAAAAGAACACATTCTGCATCATTCCATTTGTATGACATTTTCGAGAAGACAGAACTATAGGACAGATCAGTGTGCCTGGGGTTGGGTTGGGTGGAGGAATAAAGGCTTAGCAAGAGGTAGATTTGAAGGGTGACGGAACTAGTCTGTGTCCTGATTACGCTGCTGACTACACAAATCTATACATGTGCTAAAAATTCATACAACTCTACCCCAAAAACAGAGTTCAATTTTACTCCATGTTGATTTAAAAATAACAGTAAGGGAACAGCCCGCCAGGCTTCCCGGTCCATGGGATTTTCCAGGCAAGAATACTAGAGTGGGTTTATGTGGCTGCACTGGGTCTTAGTTGTGGCATGAGAGACCTTTTAGCTGTGGCATGTGATATCTAGTTTCCTGACCAGGGATGGAACCCAGAACCCTTGCATTGGGAGCGTAAAGTCCTAGCCACTGAACCACCAGGGAACACCCAACAAAAATAATAATATTTCAAACACTGAAGAAATGTAAAGTGTTTATAACTAGCAGTGGAAGTATAAGCTGAACACCTCCAACCAGACTTCAACACCTGGGGGGCCGCTTTCTATGGGAAGATCATGTTAAGTCGCTTCAGTCGTGTCCAACTCTTTGTGACCCCATGGACTGTACCCTGCCAGGCTCCTCCGTCCATGGGATTCTCCAGGCAGGAATACTGGAGTGGGTTGCCATGCCTTCCTCCAGGGGATCTTCCCGACCCAGGGATCGAACCCGCATCTCCTGCTACTCTTGCCTTGCAGGTGGATTCTTACTGCTGTGCCACCATGGAAGCCCAAGGTCATAAATCTTCACACCAAGGNAGGCTCCTCCGTCCATGGGATTCTCCAGGCAGGAATACTGGAGTGGGTTGCCATGCCTTCCTCCAGGGGATCTTCCCGACCCAGGGATCGAACCTGCATCTCCTGCTACTCTTGCCTTGCAGGTGGATTCTTTACTGCTGTGCCACCACGGAAGCCCAAGGTCATAAATCTTCACACCAAGGTCATAAATCTTCACACCGCATCTCTTCTGTTCACACCAAACCCAGAAATGTGCCTTGACAGATAACTTTAAACCTTCCACTGAGTCTATGTGTTAGTCTCTGTGATCAGATGGTTCAGTAACGAGCGCCATTTCTTATATACTCCCAATGCTGACTGGCTGCTAATAAAGCCTAATCTAAGAGGGAACTGGTATTACTTATCAGCAAGTCCCCCACATGTCATTTGCATTGTGGATGGCTATCTTGTGCAGATCATATTACTTATGTAATTTTTTTTTCTTGCTTTGGACCTAGAGTTGGACTGTGACGAGCAGTATGAATTCATGTGTTTGACTTTGTGAGCTGTGTGTGCATGAGCCTGTGTGGTATCTGTGGAGTGTACATATTTGCTGAATAACTAGACAAATTCATCTTTCAGCACCTACAACTGCCTGGGACATTTTAAAGAAAACAAGACCTAACGTGTCAAAGCTGACACTGCACCATCTCACTGTAGGAAGCCACCATTCTTCCCACCCACATCCTCCCAAGGAGGCTGTGGTCTTACCTGCTGTGGTCTTATTTCAGAAACTAAAAATGCTCTTCTGGGGACACTGTGTCTTCAGGAGTCTAGATAAATGGAGAGGAGTCATCAGGCCACAACTGTGGAAGAGATATGGGTGTTCCCTAAAAAAAAAAAAAAAGAGAGTCCTGGGCAGGGAAGCAACCTAAATGTCCATCAGCAGAGGAAATGATAAATAAGATGTGGCACATATATACAATGGAATATTACTCAGCCATTAGAAAGAATGAAATAATGCCATTTGCAGCAACAAAAATGGACCTAGAGATTGTCATACTGAGTGAAGTAAGTCAGTCAGAGAAGGAGAAACATCATATGACATCCCATATATGCAGAAATATAAAAAGAAATGATACAAATGAACTTATTTACAAAAAAAGAAGCAGACTCAACAGAGTCAGATAATGAACTTATTGTTGCCAGAGGGTAAAAATCGGGGGGGAGGGATAGTTGGAGAGTTGGGGAGTGATATTATACACTGCTATATTTAAAACTGATAACCATCAAGGTCCTATTGTGTAGTACAGGGAGCCCTGCTAATGTTATATGGCAGCCTGGATGGGAGGGATGTCTGGGGGAAAATGGATACTTGTATCATGGCCGTGTCCCCTTGCTGTCTATCTGAAACTATCACAATATTGTTGATGGGCTCTACTCCAATATGAAATAAGAATTTTTAAAGAGTCCTGGAACCTTTGGAGGAAGTCTGCAAAAGGACAGGCACTAGGAACCAGGCTCTGTCTACAAGGGTACCCTGGAGAGAGTTACTTTGATGCGCACTCTTTTCTCTTGGGAAAGGGATACTGGGCATCTTATAAAGAGTTATGTTTTGTCTGTAGCTGCTGTGTATTAGCGTCTCTTGGCGGACCCCAGCTGTTCACTGAAGCCGGAGACTGTTCCTACATTAGCATTGTGTGACAAGAGAAGGGAATAAAGACACAAGAGTGGGCAGCAAGGCAATGAAAGCAAGGATAATTCCACACCCAGCCTTGCCAGGGAGCCACGTAGAGACCTGGGGACTTAGACTTTAGCTGCAGATTTCTAGGCCTTACTTCAGACAGGCTGATTCAGAATATCTGAAAGTGGAACTCAGAAATCTGTCTTTCGAAAATATAGGTCCCAGACAATTCTCATGTGGCAGATGTTTTGAGATTTTATTGTCAAGGTGACCCTTGAAAGTGAGTGGGCAGGCTGACCCTTGGCCACCTCTTCCCCTCTGTCCTCTTCCTACTTTTTCCTCCTTTCTTCTTCTCCCCCTCCTCATTATTGTGATTTTTATTACCATCGTTATCTTACCAGAGGAATGAGAAGGGTGGGGTTTTCTCTACCACAGGCTAGTTTACTTATGAGTCAAAGATTTTAAAAGAATTATGAAAAGTGACATTGCCCAGGATCCTCCTTCTGCTCTAAGTAGGGAGGAAAAATTACTGTGCTGCCTGTCACCAAAAGAGAAACGCATCTCTACCATTGGAGATGCTGCCACCACCAAAGCATCACTTGTCTTTACAAAGCTACAAAGATAGTTTCTTTCCTGATGGAAAAGGGAACTATCTTACACTGTTGGTGGGAATGTAAATTAACACAGTCACTATGGAGAACAGTATGGAGGTTCCTCAAAAAACTAAAACTAGAACTACCATATGACCAGCAACCCCACTCTTGGCCATATACTGGGAGAAGACCATAGTTCCAGAAGATACATGCACCCCAGTGTTGATTGCAGCATTACACAGCAGAGAGAACATGGAAGCAACCTAAACATCCACCAACAGAGGACGAGTAAAGGACACGCAGTGCATGCGTGGGCCCAGTCATTCAGTCGTCTCCAACTCTGCGACCCCATAGACTGTAGCCCACCAGGCTCCTCTGTCCATGGGGATTCTCTAGGCAACAATGCTGGAGTGGGTTACCATGCCCTCCTCCAGGGTGGTACATATATACAATGGAACATTACTCAGTCATAAAGAAGACTGAAATTGTGCCATTTGTAGAGATGTGGGTGGATCTAGAGACTGTCACAGAGTGAAGTCAGTCAAAGAGAAAGACAGATATCGTATATTAATGCATATATATGGAATCGATAAAAATGGTATAGATGAACCTATTTGCAAAGTACAAATAGAGACAGAGAACAAATGTATGACCACCAAGAGGGGGATGGAGGGGTGGGATGAATTGGGAGACTGGAATTGACATACATATACACATATATAAATGTATATACATACTAATGATACTAGCTATAAAATAAAGAACTAGTGAGGAGCTACTGTATAGCACAGGGAACTCAGCTCAGTGCTCTGGAGTGACCCATCTGGGAAGGAGACCCAAACACGAGGGGAGGTTTGTGTACCCACAGCTGACTCGCTGTGCTGTACCGTGAGACCAACATGACATTCTACAGCAGCTACACGCCAATAAAACATTCTTAGAAAAAGAAATGCAAGTTTCTCCACTGGTGAAGAAGATACACATTGGTGGTGGTTGTTTAGTTTCTATGAGCCAATAAATGTATCCGTCAACAAGAAGAACAGGAAGGATTCAGTTTACGTGTATTTTTGTGGGGAGTCATTTTCAAAAACTGTTTCATGCCTCAGTTATATGGTTATAATACATGAATATTTCATACTCTGGAACATTTTCCAAATATGGTGGATGGATAATACCACTTTTTCGACATTGCAAAACCCATCTTTACTTTTCTTTTTCTGAATGAATCAGGTTATACACTTCAACAATATTCAGGGTAGTTTTACGACCTTTTAAAAATTTGGCGTTTTATGCTTTTTATGGTTAAAATGTACCCTTGGTCTTGACAGGGAAAAAGAAATAAAAATATGAAACAATTGAACTCAGGAAAGGAAAAGTCTATCTCTTCTAAATGTGCAGGAGTTTCCTAAGTCAGTTTTGAAAGTCCTCATTACTAAAATATGCTCTGTTTATAAGGATGTGAGTCATTGTGTTCAGTTCAATTAGAAATCTAGTATATGAGAGAAAGCTTTTCAAAACCACTTTGGGAGAAATTTTTAAAATAATATTGTCCTGTGTTAAAAACCTATTAGTTTAGAGACATTTGTTTGACTTTGAAACAACATCCTTATGTGTTAGAATATTGACATATTTGTTGACTGCCTCTATGTACTCCATAAAAAATAATGAGTGGGTGATAATAATGAGTGGGTGATATTTTTTAGGTAATTAAAAAAACTCCACATATACCAAAAGTGAGGCACTGAATATAAGATAATCCTTCCAATGATTCCGTAATATTCTACTTATTCCCATTTTACAGATAAAAATACTGATGTTCAAAGCCAGTATTTGATGTTAAACAAATTGCCCAAACTCCCATAACCAAAGGGGAAGCCGATGGATCACAAGCTCATGTCTGCTTGACTCCAAAGCTTTTATTCTTCCCAATGTGCCAGAGACTGCTCAACTGCAGGGAAAATAATGCTGAAGCAAATAGGTTTATTCCACGGCAGATGCACTTCAATGCATCATTTTGAAACAAATTTCTGAAGTTTCAAAATAATTTTTTTAAGTCAATAAGTACTCTATCATGGAATTGAAAAAATGATGAAAATACCACTTACTATATTTCATGGCTACCACTCAGGAGAAAAAGTTAAGAACAAAAAGCACAATTGGTCTCTTCCTTAGCCTTTCTTAAGTTCTTTTTAAAATTTCCTCTAATTTTAATAGTACTTTACATTTTTCATATATAAGAATAATTTTAATAAATATTTTATAATTTAAGAATTTCAGCATTCAAATAATACTTAAGTGCAGAAGAACTCATTTGGAAGAATGCAATCTTTCTGAACACTGAGTTACTCTCACTCTGACTTTCTGATCTTTTGAAATTATTTTATTAGTAATTATTGCAATGTTACTTCTAGTAACAAAAGTAGTGGATATAAGGACCGTTTCATTTTAATATAGTTTTCTCCTATTTTATCACATGTTTTTAAGTTTATAGGATTATTGTCGACGATAAAGCTCCCACTTTGTGGCTGTGGCTCCCACAGTGGGTCCCTTTTTCTGTAAGGGACCTTATGATTGACCGTGAGGAAGGTGGGGCTCGCCCAGATGTAACTCTTGGGTATCAGCCCTGGAGACAGTAAGGATCCTCTTCCTACCTAGTTCCCCTCCTCCTCAGATCCCTACTGTGGGAATATCAAGGCAACACAGAGATGAACATACTTGAGACTTCAGAGTATCTATTTCCTGCCCAAAGTCATTCCTGTTTCTAACAAAAAAATCTTTAATGTTTTTATTTTACTTACCAATTTCTAATCATGTTTGTATACTTTTAAAGTAATAAAATGAAGTAACTAAAAGGTGGGTACATAGCAAGTGAGTGGTAGGGTTAGGATTTTGTTTTTGCAGTTTGTCCAATTGTAGAGTCTGTTCATTTCAGGGCAGCATCTCTGCTTCCGTGACTGCTTCTGGCCTTTGCGTTCTATGATCTTACTAAATCCAGGGCATATTTTGAAGTTTTCCTTTTTGCCTAATAAATTTATGGCATCAGTTTGTTGCCTATGTTGGCCTCTTTCTCTGAAATGCCAAGTGATGAAAAATAATCAGTTAAGTAAAGGTTCCAGACTCAATAACCAACTTTTAAAGCATATTAAATAATAAAATAATTTATATGAGCTGATAGAGAGTAGAAATGCAGAAATGTTATAAAACTTGTTTAAAGTGTCAACTCCTTTTATTTCAACCCAAAAATGTTGTATTTCAAATTACAGTGTAAAACTCTTTGGTCCATTTAGGCTTTCATAGGTTAGTTTTTTACATTTTTCCTTTTATTGGATTATTTGTTTACAAACAGTAGAATTGATAAGTTCTGCCCTAAGGTAGGGTTTTGCCATAATATTACATAAAAATAATTTCCTTTTTAAAAAACTGGTTTTGTATCTTTTCAGCTCCTTAGATTCTAAAGTTTAAGAGATCTAGAAATAAGATTATTTATTTCCACATGGAGGATGAGTTCTTGCAATAGAAAAAAGAATGTATCCCATTGAAATGTGTATAATAACATAGGAAAGAGAGAGGGTATGGGAAGATTTCAGACAAAGGCTAGACTGTGCTGACATGATCGTAACCAACTTCAAAATGGCATCCGTCAACCAGGTTGCTCTGGCTGAGGCAGTTTTACATTTCTTTTTTTACTAGAAAAGTAGAGTAATTCCAAACACTATGTCTCAATAAATCTATGAATGCCACAAGTTTCATAATTTTTTTTTAAACACTGTGTTCTGGTGTTCATTTCTCTTTTACTATCTGTGTTTATGTCTCATTAGACTTTACAGGAAATCTGCTACTTGTTTATATTGCTGGACTTTGGCAAAAGACAGAGACAACATCTTTTCTAAAACAATTTCACGTTTTTCAGTCTCATAACTCCCTAAAAAATTATCTTTGTACAAGATTTTTAAAAGTTCCATCACTTCAAAAGAATGGTCATTAACCCAATTTGAATCTCTTTTTAAAAATCTAATTGAAAGAACCAAAGCCACATTGTAGAGTTTCACTTAACTTTGTAGTAAATTTGGAAAATATTCTACACTTTTTTTTTAGGAGGAAATTATAGCAGGATTCAAAAAAAAAAAAAAAGTAAAATCAAGGACAAGTAATTTTTCTGACTAATTAGATATTTGTTAAAGCATCTTTCATCTAAAACAGTGCTCTCTCTGGGATACAGAAGTTTCTTTTTTCCTAGTAACTTCCTGTTACCCTCCCAGTTTGTTTCTTGGCTCCAGTCATTATAGTCTATCAACAAACCTAAAAAATAGCCATATTTGATGTGTATGTATGTTTTTCTGTGTTTATGCATTCACATTTTTCACTTTTTCTTTACTTCTGTGCTTGTCCTCTTTTCATGTATTCTATACTCTCTGACGAAAGGCTTCAGCTTTCCATAACCTTAAAAATTTCAGCTTAAAAACTTGTCTACATACGGTGTTCTCCACATCCCCTTACTGGTTGATTAAAAAAATAAAAAACTAGTTCATAGTATTCTTCATCTAGAAGAAGTCAAGCAAGGAAAATGTCAACCACCTTATCACAAGAGACTTTATTGTCACCTTTAATCACTTGATTACATCCTTATTTTTCCCTTACTAGGTTAATGTTGGGGTAGTCTTCAGAGTAAGAAGTCATAATTACTATTACAGGCACAAGCTATTTTAAAGCAAATATAAGTTAAAAGACAGAATAACATTTAAAATTTGTACAAATTGTAATTTCACATACACACTTGCGAACACACACAAAGTGTTGTCAATCATGTGAGCTTATGTAATATAAATCCTGCTAAAATTCAATTTTGTTCTCTTTAAGATGGATAATGTGTTAGCAATATAATAGAGAGATTTTGTGCTACATAAACCAAGAATTTAGAATACAAACCATTGGACCCACAGAATAGGTTTGTTTTATCTGAGTTTGGAAGAAAAGGACCTAGGAAAACAAACCAATTTGCTTCCAATCCAAATTATCAACTGGAGAGATTCTTCAACAGAATACCAGAAACAGATGTGAATGCCTTTCCTCCATGACAGCATTCCAGTAAATGATTTCTTGCCTTGCATCCCTTTATGATAAAATGATAGAATGATTACATCCCTTTATGATAAAACCTCAAGCTCCCATCCACACCAGGCGAGAGGAAAACCCCAAAAGAAATATGATACCATTTGGCTCAACTCTTTTTTCATCTTCCCTGTAGATACTGGATGCGTTACCAGGTCTCCTGACTGTGGAGTTCACACTGACAGTATTTTTAAGATATTGCCTCATTAGGACATATTTTCTTCAGTCTGCAAACGGGACTTGCTTTCTGAGTTTTGAAGAATTGACACATTAAGCATCTTTCCACTTTTAAAAGGGAGTGGGCGCATGTAGTAATGATATGATGTACAAAAATGACTGCATTTTTTGAGAATGATTTATTATTCTGGAGTGTATTTTCCAGGGAGAGTGAATGTGCTAGCTTTTGAACCTTTGGAAGCAAGAGTTCAAATTTGGCCTGTATTAAGCAACAAACAACAATGTTTGGCCTGGTCTCAAACTATTCTCCCGGTTTCTACATCATCATACCCCACGCACAACTCAACAACAGTAACACAACTGGAAACATCTGCTGGACAAAAATCCCAGATTTGGGAAGAGAGGGCAGTCAAATATGCTCACTACCTCATTATTAGAAAACCAAAACTTAACTACTAGTGTTCAAAAGCAAAGTCAGGAAGATATTTGAGGGTCACATAGATTATGAGAAACTAACCAAAGGGTTCTAGAATTCTTTAGGGAAATCTGGACTTCAATTTTTTTTTTTTTACTGCACTTTTTACTTACATTTATAACTATTTGCTTACCTGGGTGGGCCCCACTTTGAAGCTCAATTTGTGGAGCAGTATCTCCTCAGAAAACACATAGGCTGTGGGTTTCAAAAAGGTGCAAAATATCCAAAGTCCTTATGAACTTAACCACAGAGATTCTGGAAGGTGGAAAAGGGTTGTGCTTTAAAACACCTGAGGATAGAATGGTCACCTATTTAAAGCTACGTGGAATTATTTTCAGCAACTCTGTCGTCTTGTTTTTAGCAACCTATTTTCCTCTTCATCCTTCATCCTTGAAAGAAGAAAGAAAAATAAATAAATAAATTTTTAAAAAGGTTCTGGGCAACAGGCAGAGGACATTTAAGTTAAATGTTAAACCTAAAATCATTTCCTGAGAGTATTTTTTGAGCCTGATATTTGCCTTAGGTATGGAGTTCATCATCTTATATGAAAGCAAGTATATCAGTTCAGTCACTCAGTCGCGTCCGACTCTTTGTGACCCCATGAACCGCAGCATGCCAGGCCTCCCTGTCCATCACCAACCCCGGAGTCCACCCAAACCCATGCACATTGAGTCGGTGATGCCATCCAACCATCTCATCCTCTGTCGTCCCCTTCTCCTAGTTTCAGCCAAAGGAATACACCCAAACCATCTTTAATAGTATATAAAATTGATCAGGTACAAGCTGTTGTACTTGAGGGAGAAAACTATACGCAGAGGTGCATCAGGGTCATAGGGAAAAACGGTGACCCCGTAGGCAGTCACACTCACATGCCAAGTTCCTCCTGGTTAGGCTGACTGTGGAGTCAAACAGTTAGCATCTTCTTTTCCAGTGAACACAGCTTGGTTTGGAATCTGACTGGAAGCACAGAGCAAAGTCACACTGTATCGACATCTCTACCCTCCTGTGGACAAAACAGAGAGAAACAGAAGTAGGAAGAAATTGCGGATTTAGTCCATGAAAGGGTCTCCCAGCCAATTCCCAGTGCTCAGTGGCAAGCCCGAGGGAAGGCTGACCCAGCCACCAGCTGGCTGGTGCAGAAGCCTGAGAGGCAAAGGAGAGGGTCAAGCAGGTTGCGGATTTCAGACTGAGACTGAACAGGAAAATCCGATCATAAAACCCAGAGTTACAGGAATGGAAACTACTAGTCTTGTCTTCGAGGGTATTGCTCAGGCATACCAACTGGAGGAAGGTACGATCAGCTCCTGAATCTCGTCCCCATCTCCCAGTTCAGCTGTTTCCCGCAGCCTGTCGTGCTCCTATGAGCAAACAGATGCTGAATGGATCACACCAACGGCAACACTGGGAAGCCTCTGGCTAGCACATGATGGCCCTCACCTGGGTCGGTGCCTTCAAGTTTCAATCCAGTGTGGGGCCAACAATCCTGAAGTTCTTGTCTGCTTAATTTGCTTTCCTTTCTGTGGTGCTGGATGGTCCCTGTTTGTGTAGCTGGAGGAGTTAATAAAAATTGTAGTTTAAGAAAGAAAAACACATAAAGAATGCTGGAAAAGGAAAAGCCATTTCTCCCCAAAAAACAGTTTCTCAAAAATCAATTTGTTGATTGTGAGTTTGCTAAAGAATCTTTAAATACTCTCGCTTGAGCCTGAGTCAACCTCTGGCTATTGCAAAGTGACAACTGAATGAAACATTTACTCTGTGAGAATTCCCACCTATTTCACATGGATGGTCAGGGAAAACTACTCTTGCATAGCTATGTACCTCTCAAATGCAAGGAAAGTAAAAAGAAACTTAAATTATTTATCTCCTTAATTATGTAAATCAAAGAATGATAGATACAGAAAAATGCTAAAACTCTTTCCTAGTTTAGTGAAGCTTTCACTAGAATGAGGCAAAGTAACAAAGTATAGTGAGTTTTTGCAAAAAGATGAATTTTTCCTCATTTCAAACATATTATGTCCAGGCAGCAAATGTTATTTCATTTAGGAAATATGGAAGGTAATAGTAGACTTATTTTTTTACTCAGCAAAATAAAACAGTAACATTTCCAATTAATGCTAATATAACTTGTCTGATTTTCTTTTGTTTTTGTTTTATTTATTTTATTTTTGGCCATGTCTTGCAGCATGAGGAATCTCAGTTCCCTGACCAGGGATTGAACCTATGCTCCCTGCAGTGAAAGCGGGGTCTTCACTGCTAGACTGCCATGGAAGTTTCACTTCTCTGACTTTCAATTTCCTTATTTATAAGAGCAATAATAATCATTGCTGCTGCTGCTGCTGCTGCTGCTAAGTCGCTTCCGTCGTGTCCGACTCTGTGCAAACCCATAGACGGCAGCCCACCAGGCTCCCCCGTCCCTGGGATTCTCCAAACAAGAACACTGGAGTGGGTTGCCATTTCCTTCTCCAATGCATGAAAGTGAAAAGTGAAAGTGAAGTTGCTCAGTTATCCAACTCTTAGCAACCCTATGGACTGCAGCCCACCAGGCTCCTCCACCCATGGGATTTTCCAGGCAAGAGTGCTGGAGTGGGGTGCCATTGCCTTCTCCAATAATAATCATTATGTTATTATAAATATTAATATAAATAGAGGTTTTGTGAGGATCAATAAAATAATGACTGTAAGAGTAATGTAAATGAATTTATATATTTAAGTATTCAGTGCCAATTATCTTTATTATAATGACAACCAATTAACTGTATACTATAAGCAAGGGAAGCAATAGAAACTTCCTAGTTGATATGATGTATAGAAACTTACTCTGTGGCATGGAATAGATTTAACTTCATTGGGAGAATAAATGCTGTCAGGCATTTTTAGTTAAAGTTCATCTGGAAAAGTTTCATGAATACTATGAATTCTGGAAACATTTTAATTTTGACTTTAGAGGCGGGAGGGGGTTGGTTTTCCATTGAGAGAAACTCAAATGTNTCCTTTAGGATGGACTGGTTGGATCTCCTTGCTGTCCAAGGGACTCTCAAGAGTCTTCTCCAACACCACAGTTCAAAAGCATCAATTCTTCAGTGCTCAGCTTTCTTTATAGTCCAACTCTCTCATCCATACATGACTACTGGTAAAACCACAGCCTTGACTAGATGGACCTTTGTTGGCAAAGTAAGGTCTCTGCTTTTTAATATGCTGTCTAGGTTGGTCATAGCTTTTCTTCCGAGGAACAAGCACCTTGTAATTTCATGGCTACCATCACCATTTGCAGTGATTTTGGAGCCCAAGAAAATAAAGTGTCTCACTGTTTCCATTGTTTCCTCATCTATTTGAACAAAGTGATGGGACCAGATGCTATGATCCTAGTTTTTTAATGTTGGGTGTTAAGCCAGCTCTTTCACTCTCCTCTTTAACTTTCATCAAGAGCCTCTTTAGTTCCTCTTTGTTTCTGCCATAAGCATTGTGTCATCTTCATATCTGAGGTTATTGATATTTCTCCTGACAATCTTGATTCCAATTTGATACCTGGTTCCTCTGCCTTTTCTAGATTTACCAGCTTGAATATCTGGAAATTCTCAGTTCATGTACTGTTGAAGCCTAGCTTGGAGAATTTTGACCATTACTTTGCTAGCATGTGAGATGAGTGCAATTGTGTAGTAGTCTGAACTTTCTTTGGCATTGCCTTTCTTTGGGATTAGAATGAAAGCTGAACTTTTCCAGTCCTGTGGCCACTGCTGAGTTTCCCAAATTTGCTCACATATTCCGTGTAGCACTCTCACAGCATCATCTCTTAGACCAGATTATATAAGAATTTTTTTATGTCTCTAGAACTTTCACAATCTTTTTCTAGATACAAATTCTATGTCTAGTCCTCATACACAAGCCAAACCAACAAACTCTTGATATTTCACGACTTTGGTGTTTTTTTCCAATAAATAGATTCTCCAAAATAGCATTTATTTACTCAGATAAACAAATGAATATGTTAATATTGCTAGTATATTTCTTACTAGAAGAAGATTCAGAAAAAACACAATGAAAAACTACATTTTTAGTTTTCTTATCTTTTCATCTCATCGAACCCTTTAACTTTCAAGTAATGAGAAATAGCAGATACACCAGCAAAAGCTCTAATTGGAAGCCAGAATATCTAAGTTTCTGTCCTAGTTCTGCTACTGATTAGCTGAGAGGGGAAATCATTTAATCTCTCCATGTTAGTTTCCTCCTTTTCAAAATTATAAGGTTAAACAAGTTAATCTCTAAAGTTTACTTTTAAATTATTGGGTTAAACAAGTTAACATCCGAGATTTTTTTCCAGCTTTAGCATTCCTTGATTTTAATTTCTTAGTCCTATGATATTGGAGTCTTCCCAGTTACCAGATAAAGACAGTCATAGAAAGAAGTACTTTGGGAAAAAAGAAATGAAGCTGTCTATAAAACTCTGGGAAACAGAGTCTGTTTTTTCTCTTTGGTATAAAATTATTTTTACTGATTGGTTTCAAGATTATTCAGGAGATGAAACCCATGGAATTGTCTATTCTCAAGAAGATAAAGTACTAAATCTCATTTGAATCTATGGAGCAAAAATGCTAAAGGAAAGAAAGAATATTTAAAATAAGATAAATATGACTTATAATCTCTCACCACTGTGAAACCTATAGAGTTCCTGTTTCCATAAATTTTGTTTAGAGAATATTTTCCCATTAAGGATTGTATACATATATGGATGAGTGTGAATATACACACACACACACACACACACATATATGTTACACATGTGCAGAAACTGAACCCATACCAGTGTGTGTGTGTTTGTGAAAAGGAGAAAAAGCATGACATGCACATATTATAGGCAAGAAAGTTGAATAGAATACCCTTTATTCTTTGGAGATATGAGGCCCCGTTAGTGGCCTTTACTGAATAAAGAGAGAATTATGTTCAGTAATAGGTTTCACTCTACTCAGAAATGTAAAGCTGTATTCTTGGTTTTTTAAGGAACCTCTACAACATTCTTCATGAGGGCTTCCCAGGTGGCTTAGTGGTAAGGAATTCGCCTGCCAATGAAGGGGATGCTGGGGATGCAGGTTCAATCCGTGGGTCAGAAAGATACCTTGGTATAGGAAATGACAACCCCACTGCAGTATTCTTGCCTGAAAAATCCCATGGACCAAGGAACCTGGTGGGCTATAGTCCATGGACACACAATGACAGTCATAAAGAGCACAACAACATACCGTTCTGCATAGAAGCTGTAACAATTTACATTCCCACCAACAGTGTAGGAGGGTCCTTTATTCTCCACACCCTTTCCAGCATTTATTGTTTGTAGATTTTTTGATGACCCGTCCTGACTGCTGTGAGGTGATACCTCATTGCTGTTTTGATTTGCATTTCTGTAATAATTAGTGATGTTGAACATCTTTTCATGTGCTTTTTTGGCCATCCATAGGTCTTCTTTGGAGAAAAACCTATTTAGATCTTCTGCCCATATTTTTGTCTCGATGGCTTGATTTTTTTGATATTGAGTGGCATAAGCTGTTTGTAAATTTTGGATGGGTTGTGCCATTTAGATTATCACAGGTGATTCATTTGGATTCAGAGGAAATAGCTACAGGCATCTGTGGAGAAGATGGGAAAACAGATTGGGAGCCAGAACTTTCCATTCTTCAGCCACAGCACATTCAGATGTCACAGTTCATGGGCTCTCTGGGATACTGATCACCTCAACCTCCTGGAGGTGGTTGTGCTTGGTGTCTTCAATAGGTCAGTAGTCACCTCAGCCTCAAACAGCTCCATCTACCTGCCCTGATACACTGTACAGATATGGTTGTTTTCTGTGTCTTCCATCTGCAAGGCATTGGGAAGTACTGGTTTAGTTTATCCTTGAGAAATACAAAGGACTATCTAGAAGCCCATATTCAGAAGAGAAGCAAAAAATACCATTAAAACCAACATCCTGTTCTACCTCCTTCCTAACACCTGAACATTCTGAACATCTATGGACATCAGGTAAGTGTGCATTTGGATTAGCTCCTGGGCACCCAGTCACCAAATATTACGGAGTAAGTAGTGGGACCAGTGGCTTTCATCACTCCATTGTACAGAAACAGTAGACTCATCTCCNTCACCAAATATTACGGAGTAAGTAGTGGGACCAGTGGCTTTCATCACTCCATTGTACAGAAACAGTAGACTCATCTCCCCAGTGTTTTTTTTTTTGCAAACCCACAAACAAACCCCCAAACAAAGATATCAAATAAAGCAGTCTTAGACTCTATCCTATGAGAAAAGTTTCCTAAGGGATTTGCACTGAGATCTTGCCTTCTTCTACTCCAAGAAAGCTGTGATCCAGAATCCACCCTCGCTTGTTCTTTGGGAGGGCTGCACGACTCATCAGCTAATAATTGGAACTCTGATAGAGAGGTGTTGGAGTAGTAGTTAGAAGGGTGAAGCTTCAAGTTGTTTTCCAGTTACAAACTAGTATCCTGAGAATGTAGGACACTTGTTAATAGTGATTGCATTACAAGAGCGCATTTTTCCATTTCTAAATCAAAAAGATTTATGAAGCTGTGTAGTCATGCCTTGTAGCTGATGTTTCTAATGAAAAATAATGTAATTTCCCAGTGCAAATCACACTGATGTGACCTAGAGACATTTCTGTTTTGTCACAACACCATTTAATTGGAACTGAAATTAGCCAGAATTACACCATGTTCCTGGCGAACAGTATGATCCAAAAATATCACCATAGTAACATGTGTATTCTATCAACAAGTCCCCTTTCATATTTTTTAAGGTCTCATTCTATCAATAATTCCTAAACACATTAAAAAATTGTTTTGGAACCCTAAGCTTTTGCTCTAAGGTATTTGTAACTCAATTTAAATGGCATACTGAATTTAAAAAATATATATTTCCCTTTATTTAAGGAAACGTTTGCTTGCTCATTAGGCCAGATCAACTTTGCAGATGTCGTGAGAGCTTCCAGAGATGTTTTATATGACCAAGTGCTGAAATTCATTTTCTTTTTACTGTTTCTTTCATCACCTTCTAAGAAATTATATGTTCATTCCAAGGAGTTAGGTCTCAACTGACCATGGAAAGGTAACTTTTTAAAGTTTGCTTCTTTAAGCTATGAGAAATCATAGAGGAAACGGAAAGTTCATATTCTCAAAGAGGTTTTAGTTCTCACTTCAGCAATTGCAAGAGGAATCTATTTTGGTTATATATAGATGAAATGGTTATAATTGGCCCTTCCTAGGTTTAAAGCAGTTCATTTCCTCCCTTCATCAGCTAGGTTTGTTAAGTGTTTATAGAAGTAACAATTTGTGCAGGGATGAATTTGAAAAATGATCGTTAAATGTATTAGGATGCCCCAGGTTGATGTGTGGGTGGTTAAAAGGGATGAAGGGAGGTAAATGGGAAGATGGAGGAAGGGAGGAGAGAAGAAATAATATTTTAAGGCCTTTGACTGTTACACAAATGACATTGTGTAAATAGTAATTTAATTTTAAAGGAAAAAAAGAGATCCTCCTGAAAAAAAGAGTAAGAGTTATATAATGCTGAAAAGCAGTGTTTGTGGATGAAAAACACGAGTGATGACAGAGGATGGGAAATTCTTTCAGCAAGCTATAGCTTGTGAAAATTTGAAATGCTCTCATCTAAATGGCCGATTTTTTTTTTTTTTTTTAATCTTTCTTAACTGCACCTAGCAGCAGTGGGATCTTAGTTCCCTGACCAGGGATTGAACCTGCGTCCCCTGAAGTGGAAGTGCAGAGTCTTAATCACTGGACCACTAGGAAAGTCCCTGAGTGGGCTATTGCGTGAAGATCATGTGTGAACATTTCAGCTCTTCTGTGTATGAGAACCTTCAGCTTGATGCGTGTGCTCACTTGCTCGGGTGTGTACAACTCTTTGCAATCCCATGAACGGTAGCCTGCTGGGCTCCGCTGTCCATGGAATTTTCCAGGCAAGAATACTAAAGTGGGTTACTGTGCCCTCCCCTCGGGGATCTTCCCAACCCGGGGATCGAATCTCCCTCTCTTGAGTCTCCTGTATTGGCAGACTTACCACTGCACCACCTGGGAAGCTCAGATTGATACCATTAGGAATGAAAAAAGGATTATTTTGTAGAAAGATTGCCTTTGATTGATCATGCTCAGAATATGGTAGACGAAGCAATGAACTTTTTGAAGATGTTGGCTTTATCTTTGTTTTGTCACTGTGGATAGATTAATGATCCAGAAAGCAAAACACATAAAGTCATTCGTTTTTCAGTTTGCCTTGAATTCCTTAACTGTATCGCAACTCTACACGGACATTTTCATCTAGAACAACATGCCTCCTGAGCTCAATGGCCTCATTTGAAATATCTTCTTGTTTGTTTCTCTCTACTTGTGTTTGTTATCTTTCTGGTTGCTTGTATCTTGTTCAATTCAGTTTATAGCAATGAGGACAGTGACCCAGATTTTATTTCCTTTAGCAGAATTCTTCTTTATTCTTTGATAAACAGTCATTCATATCTCATGGGAAATTTTGACATAGAGAGACAGGACCACTTTTTGTTTAAACTATGAAAGAAGGGAGACTTTCTTTGGTAAAGCATTCATTTACTCAACAACTGTTTAGCTAATAACTATGCTATGCTAAGTATTGTGTGTGTCAGTGGATAGACATGTGTGAGCAAAGTTGGCAACATTCTGCCCACTGAGACAGATGTCAAACACAGAACAACATTTCTAATGATAAATACTAAAAATGGCCATAAACTTGGGAAAGATCTAGAAATTAAGAGAATGGGACCGAATTGGAGAGTTAGGCGAGGTTGCCCTAAAATTTAATCTGATAACTGATGTTTAGGCAAAGTTGGTCAAAAAGAATAGGTGTGATGGTGGCAGGTGGAGAGGGTATGTAAGGAGGGAGAGATAGAAACTGTCCCACAAGAAATTAACAGCTGCACACGATTAAATATGAAATAGACAACCAACACAGAGAAGGCGATGGCACCCCACTCCAGTACTCTTGCCTGGAAAATCCCATGGACAGAGAAGCCTGGTGGGCTGCAGTCCATGGGGTCACTAAGAGTCGGACATGACTGAGCGACTTCACTTTCACTTTTCACTTTCATTCATTGGAGAAGGAAATGGCAACCCACTCCAGTGTTCTCGCCGGGAGAATCCCATGGATGGCAGAGCCTGGTGGGCTGCCGTCTATGGGGTCACACAGAGTCGGACACGACTAAAACGACTTAGCAGCAGCAGCAGCAGATAAGCAACAAGGACCTACTATAATAGCACAGGGAATTGTACTCAATATTTTGTAATAACATATATGGGGAAAGAATCTGTAAAAGAATGGATAGATGTATATGTACAACTGAATCACTTTGCTATACACCTGACACTATCACAACACTGTAAATCAACTATACATCAATGTAAAATAAAAAATTTTAATTACTATATAAAAGAGATAAGCACCAGGGTCCTACTGTATAGCACTGGAAACTATATTCAACCTATATTCAGTATCTTATAATAAACTATAATGGGGAAAAATCTATAAAAGAATGTATATATGGCTTCCCAGCTGGCTCAAGTGGTAAAGAATGCACCTGCCGATGAAGGAGATGCAAGAGATGCAGGTTTCATCCCTGGGTTGAGAAGATCCCCCGAAGAAGGAAATGGCAGTACCCCAGTATTCTTGCCTGGAAAATTCCATGGACAGCAGAGCCTGGTGGGCTACAGTCCCTGGGGTTGCAAAGAATCTGACATGACTGAGTGCAGGATGCACATGTGCACACACACACACAGACACACACACGTGTGTGTGTGTATGCATACACCACAAAAAAAATTACTCTGGCTACTCTAGGGAAAAAATTCAAAGGAAGCATGAGTAAAGACAAGAAATCCAGGTCGAAGAGTATAGTCCAAGCAAGATGTTATACTGGATTTGCTTGGAGACACAGCAGTGAAGAGAGAGAGGAAATCAACAGATTCGAGAGATGTTCTGAAGATAAATCAACAAGTCTTGAGATAATAAATGTAGGAAGAAGAAAGATCAAAGATTAGGCTCAGGTTTCGTACCGTAGTCGGCAGCCTCCCTCATGGGCCTCCATTTTCCCTACCTCCTGGTAATCACACCCCGTGTTACAGCCTTCCACACTGGGGTTGGTCTGTGCGACCAGTGCAATATGGCAGACATGCTGGCCTGTGACTGCCAAGGTGAGGTCATAAACAACACTGTAGCATCTACCTTGTTCCTGCCCCCACAGGTCAGTTACTCTGGACAAAGCAGTCCTATGAAGGAGCCCAGGTGACAGGAAACGGAGGCTTCCTGCCAACAGCTATCAAGGAGCTAAGGCCTCTTGCTAAGATACACATGAGAGGCATAGCTTGAAAGAGAGTCTCCCAGACCTAGTCGAGCCTTGGAAGAACTGCAGACCACACCAACACCTTGCCTGCAATGTCACCACCCCAAGCCAAAATCACCAGGCTAAGCTGCTTCTGAATCCCTTACGCATAGAAACTGAGAGCCAAATCATTCTTTTAAACTGCTAACTTTTGTGGTAATGTGTTACACAGCAAAAGATAAGCAGAGCATGTGCTTAAGCAATTGGAAATACTATTTACTAAGCCGCTGAGGATGAGGGAAGGCAGAGATTGGTAGGGAAAGATCAAGAGTTACTTTTACACATACATGTATTCCTTGAAATATTCTAGAGTTGATGCCTTGCCATAAAATCAAATAAATGAATATGGAATTCAGAAATGTGATCTGAGCTAATGATACACATTTGGGAATAACATATTTATAGATGATCATTTCAGCTATAAGAATTGATGTGATCACTTAGGATAATATAATATATCCTTAGGATATATATCACTTAGGATAATATATATCCTAATATATATATATATATCCTTAGGATATATATCACTTAGGATAATATATATATCCTAATATATATCCTAATATCACTTAGGATAATATATATCACTTAGGATAATATAATATATTAAGAGAGAAGAGGATCTAGGAATCTCAATATCTAAATATCTATATATTTACACTTGTTTTGCACCACTTTAGTTCACTTCACCTCATCACATCAGGAGGTGATGGATAAAAGCTTCCCCATTACATCCCCAAGTAGTTCCGAGGTGCCTTTTATAAAGTTCCTCAAAAGCTTCTGCAGGATCTAGTATTTATTTCCCAAAGTGGTGCCCAGCTCATTTTGGCACCAGCTTCCCTTGTTTCCCTTCTGCACTCAATCCGTGTCTCAAACTTGCTCCTTAAGATTGCTGCCCAAATAAACTATCTGCCTGCAAGCTTTCATCTCTTTTCAGGGAAACTCTGGCTAGAATGGTTTGGTAGGAAAGGATCCACTAAACCAGCTCAGTAGATGTTAAAGGAGAAGCCAAAATAGTAGAAGAAAACCTGAAAATGAGCATTATGACTTCTAAGAGAAAATCAGAGGTCAACGGTGTGAAATGGTACTTAGAGAGCTAGTCACAAGACTTCACAGGAATAGTGAAGAAATTTGCACAACACTTTCTTTTTCATCAAATGTTCACATCACCAGACCTTCCAAGCAGTCTTATGAGGCTGGCAAATTGACATTATTTTTCTCGAGGTCCAGGTAGGATGAACACATCCAGAACAGTGAAGTGATGGGTCCAAGCCCATACAATAAGGCTCCACATGTTTTAACTCTAGTTCATTTACTTCACCAACAATTGCTTATCCCATGGTTATTGGAAGTCAGCTTCACTGAGTATGAGTAAACCCGATGATTTATACTCAGTGAAGCTGATTTCCATTAACCATGGGATAAGCAATTGTTTGTGAAGTAAATGAACTAGAGTTAAAACACGTGGACCCAATCATTGATAGGGGCTTTTCTGGTTACTCAGATTGTAAAGAACTCCAGGGTCAGAAAGATCCCCTGGAGAAGGGATAGGCTACCCACTCCAGTATTCTTGGGCTTCCCTGGTGTCTCAGATGGTAAAGAATCTGCCTGCAATGCAGGAGACCTGGGTTCAGTCCCTGGCTTGGGAAGATGCCCTGGAGGAAGACATGGTAATCCACTCCAGTATTCTTGCCTGGAGAATCCCATGGACAGAGGAGCCTGGCGGGGTACAATCCATGGGGCTACAAAGAGTCAGACATAACTGAGCGACTAACACTAATCATTTATAAGAATTTAATTGCACACAGACACAAGTAATATACAAATAGTTTAATTCTAGAATTTTTCTGAGAAATTTTATATTGTAGAATATTGGATATTTTTTAAAAGGGCTTAATTCTGACAAATAAACATAAAGTTTTACAAACTGCAACTATTTTATAGCCACTAAAATGTCACCTAATAAAAGTGATAAGGAAGCAAAAGGAAACACTTTCAGATTCTTACTAAAGACTCAGGCCCTGTCGACCTGATAATTACTGTGAAACTCCATTATTTGAGAAAATCTCCAGGCCAAGGAAACTGGTGGGATAACTTGAAACTTTCAGTTCAGTTCAGTTCAGTCGCTCAGTCGTGTCCAACTCTTTGCAACCCCATGAATCGCAGCACGCCACGCCTCCCTGTCCATCACAAACTCCCTGACTTTATTCAAACTCATGTCCATCGAGTCAGTGATGCCATCCAGCCATCTCATCCTCTGTCATCCCCTTCTCCTCCTGCCTTCAATCTTTCCCAGCATCAGGGTCTTTTCCAATGAGTCAGCTCTTCGCATCAGTGGCCAAGTATTGGAGTTTCAGCTTCAACATCAGTCCTTCCAATGAACACCCAGGACTGATCTCCTTTAGGATGGACTGGTTGGATCTCCTTGCAGTCCAAG